CTTTTTATACCACTAATTATAATTGATTGATCACTAGCTTTGTTGGTTTTGGGTGGTTTTTTTAAATCATATATTTTAAGCATTTGATTATGATCCAGATTTGTTTGAAATTCACCTAGTCTCTTTTTTTTTTTTTTTTTTTTTTTAAAAATATGGAACGCTTCACGAATTTGCGTGTCATCCTTGCGCAGGGGCCATGCTAATCTTCTCTGTATCGTTCCAATTTTAGTATATGTGCTGCCGAAGCGAGCACTAGTCTCTTGATCTTGTGGGTTTGTGTTGTCTTTGTTGTTTGTTAGGTGCTGTCAAGTTGAGTACGACCCATAGTGACCCTATTAACAACAAATCTGAACTCTTTGCTCCTATCCTTGCCATCCTCACACTTCCTGATATCCTAGAGCCCACTCGTCGGTGCAGTCACTGTGTCAGTCCACCTGGCTGAGGGTCTTTCTGTCCTCTGACTCTCTGCCTTTCCAAGCTTGATACCCTTCTCCAAAGAATAGCCTCTCCTAGCAACATGCCCAAAGTATGTGAAGCGAAGCTTTATCATCTTTGTCTCCAAGGAGCACTCTGGCTGCACTTTTTCTAAGACATATGTTTGTTCTCTTGGTGATCCATGAAATGTTCTGTAACCTTCTACAACATCACAGCTCAAAGGCATCAATTCTTCTGTCAACCTAATTCATTGTCCAGCTCTCAGATGCATAGCAAGTGATCAGAAAGACTTTGGCCTGAATCAGATATACGTTAGTCCTCAAACTGACCTCGTTACTCCTCAGTAATTTGGAGAGGTCCCTGACTGCAGGCTTTTCCAATACAATACACTGTGTGTTTATAGAAATGTGGCTATCATTTCTTTACATTTATCATATGTTTTCTCCTTCCTCTGGGATTCCAAGTACACCTATGTTAGAATATTTGATGCTGTCTCACAAGTCACTGAAGCTCTGTTAATTTGTCAGTCCTTTTTTCCCTTCTGTGCTTCAGTTTGAATAGTTGGATAGCTATGCCTTCAGTTTCAGTGAACTTTAAAATTCTGTCGTGTCTAATGTGTTGTTAAGTCTCATCCAATGAATTTTTCATTTCAGACACTGTACTTGTTATATCTCTAGGAGTTCTATTTGGTTCTTTTTTTGTATCTTTCCATTTTTCTTCTCATGAACATTTTGTACATGTTTTAACTCTTGAACATACTGATCTAATTCCATCATCTTTATAATTCCTGTGTGTGTTTCTATTAAATAATTTCCCCCTAATTAGAGGTTGTATTTACTGACTTCCTGGAGTGTCTAGTAATTTTTAACTGAATATACAACATAGTAAATGTTATGCTGTTTGTTGTCTTCCTTTTAACTTGTATTGGACTGAGGGGGCTCTGGTGGCCTAGTGACAAAAAGCCACGCTGCAATCCCGAAGGTAGGTGGTTTGAATCCATCAGTTGTTCCACTAGAGAAGAAGGGGCAACTTCTTCCTGTGTCAGTCAGATGAGATTCAGCAGTACACAACAAGAGAAAAAAAAATGCTTTGGGCTTTATTTTGAAAGACCAACTTGAGTTGCAAATAAATTTGGCTATTGAATATTTATTTGAATATTTATTTTGAATTCCTTCAGAATGAGTTGTTGTTGCTTTGTGTTGTCGGGTCAGAACTGACCCATAGCTTTCCCTGTGGCGGATTTTCAGAGGCATTTAATTGCAGGGGAGGAGATTGCCCATCCTCCTGCCCAGCACCTGGTGGATCCAAACTGTTTACCTTTAAGATGGCAGTGCAACCTCTTACCACTAACTAGGCCACCAGAGGTGAGCTTTTTCTCCTAAGATAGTTTTAGCCTTATTACTAAGGTAGAAGCCTTCTGAGATCTCTACTGAGTACTGTACATGATCAGCAAAGACTCTTCATTCTAGCTGATTGGAGCCCAAATGTCTTTTTGCCCTGCGTGTCCTCTGGGAACTGATCAGCTAGCTTATAACACATTTTTGCATGGTCTTGTGAAGCTTCACTCGACACATGCAAAATTTGTTACTCATCAAAGACTTTAAAGGGAGCCTGTCAGAATTTTGCAGCTCTTTTTGGCATAGCTCAACTCCTGTGGAACATTTTCCTGTACTATCTAGCTACCTGAGTTCTCTTGAATCCCTTTCTCTCCTCAGCTCAGTGAAACCACCATGTTCTTGGGATTCCTCTCTCAGAGTTACAGTCCAGAATGTTCCTCCAGGCACAAATTCAGGGCTGCTGTAGAATGGATGCCTTTAAGTTGTGGTGTTGGAGAAGAGCACTGAACATCCTATGGACTGCCAAAAGAACAAACAGATATGTCTTGGGAGAAAGTGCTTCCAGAGTACTCCTTGGAGGCAAGGATGGCAAAATTTCATCTCTCGTACTTTGGACATTTTGCTAGGAGAGGCTATGCCTTGTAAAGAGATGCCATACTTGGACAGGAACAGTGAAAGAAATGAAAACCCCTAATGAGAAGAATTGGCGCAGTGATTGCAGCAGTGGGCTCAAGAATGTCACAGATGAAGAAGGTGGCACAGGATAGGACAGGATTCAGTTCTGTTGCTCATAGTGTTGCTGTGAGTTGTACTCAACTTGACGGCATCTAACAACAACAACATAGGCTTCATCTTGTTTGTTTCTTTTCTCTCAGAGATCACAATCCTGGACTACTTATTGTGTAATGTTTTAAAACAATTGTTTTATCTTTAGAAATAATAATTTTCTCATTTATGTGGGAGAATAATTTCAGTTTTTCCACTATGATTGGAAGTCAAAGTCTTTGATATTTTAATCAGGCTTTGGAAAGGAGAAGTTACATGTGTGTGGCCAGAATTTGACTGGATGTCCTAGACTCCAGAAATACATTTAAATTCTTAATTTCAGCAAGCCTATAAGCTTTATCACACATCAGAAAATCTCATGCAGTATAACTGTGCTGTTCACAAAATAGTAATAGAATTTAAACAAAATGTTAATACATCATGTCCCATGTCTCCCAGGAGATTTGGACAGCACCTGTCTGGCCAATGGTTTGGAAGAGATCCATATTTGTTCCCATTCCCAAGAAAGGTTATCCATCTGAATGTGGAAACTATTGAACAATATCATTAATATCACATGCAAGCAAAGTACTGCTGGAGATCATTAAAAGATGGCTGGGACAGGACATAGAGAACTGCCAAAAGTTTGATAAAGATTTAGAAGAAGCCATGGCATCAGGGATATCATTGCAAATGTCAGATGGATCCTGGCTGAAAGTAAAGAATACTACAAGAATGTTCATTTGTGCTTTATTGACTATACAAAGGCATTTGACTGTGTGGGTCAACTTGACAAGTTTGACAGGTTGTGGCTGACATTGAGAAGAGTGGTAGTTCCAGAGCACTTAATTGTGCTCGTGTGGACCAGGAAGCTGTTGTGCGAACAGAGCAGGGGAACACTGCATGGTTAAAAATTGAAAAGGGAGTGTCAGGGTTGTATTTTCTCTCCATACCTATTTAATCTGGAAGCTGAACAAATTATACAAGATGGACTTTATGAAGATGAGTGTGGCATCAGGATTGGAGGGAGACTCATCAATAACCTGTGTTATGCAGATGACATAGCCTTGCCTGCTGAAGTGAGAAGGAACTTGAAGCATTTGTTGCAGAAGATTAAGGAATGCAGCCTTCACTATAGATTGCATCTCAATGTCAAGAAAACGAAGATTTCTTACCACTAGACCAATAGGCAGCGTCATGATGGATGGAGAGGAGATTGAAACTATCAACAGCTTCATCTTGCTAGGATCCACAATTAACATCCTTAGTACCAGCAGTCAGGAAATAAGGAGATGCATTGCACTGGGGAAATCTATAGTTAGGGACCTCTCCAAATTATTGAGGAGTAATGGTGTCAGTTTGAGGACTAAGATTCATCTAATTCAGGCCGTAGTCTTTCCAGTCACTTGCTATGCATCTGAGAGCTGGACAGTGAATAAGGATGACAGAAGAAGAATTGATGCCTTTGAGCTGTGGTGTTGGAGAAGATCACTGAACATTCCATGGACAGCCAAGAGTATGAACAGATATATCTTGGAGAGATTGCTGCTGGAGTGCTCTTTGGAGACAAGAATGAAGAAGCTTTACTTCACATACTTCGGGCATCTAGCTAGTTGGAGAAGGACATGATGCTGGGAAGGGAGTAGGATTGGTGAAGGAGAGGAAGACCCTCAACCAGGTGGACTGACATGGACTGCTTCATTGGGTTCTTGTGTGTCAGGAAGTGTGAGGATGGCACAGGATAGAGCATGGTTCAGATCTTTTGTTCATAGGATTGCTCTGAATCATAATTGACTCAATGGCACCTAAAACAACAGCTATCATGTCCCACAAGTACAGAGCATGGGTTTGAAATTGTACCGTTAACATAGACTTTCATTCCTAACAGTGTAGTGTTGTTGTGAGCCTTCAAGTCAGAACCAACTCCTAGCTGACCCTCCAGTGGGTTTTTGGAGGTAGTAAATTGCAAGGGAAGAGATTGCCCATCCTTCTCTCAAGGATCATCTATCTGGTGGAGGCAAACCGCATGCCTTTGAGATTGCAGCACAGCTTCTTACCATTAGGCCACCAGAGCTCCTTATTAGTGTATCACTATAACTGTGTGCTAAACCTCAGTGAAAACACCAATAATCTAAATTTCTGGTCCTGCCAGAAATGTGTGGCATGGGAGTCCCTAGGGGTCTGTCCTAGCTCAGTCACCCTCCTTTGGCTAACAGCCTCTCTGGACCACTCTCAGTCCTAAGCTAACTTCACAGGTAAGCCTACCCACTGGAAGAGGGAACTCAGTCAGGCCTCCCGAGTTACTTTCAGCCCTATCCTTCAAGTTCCACTCCACTCACCTGACTCCTGCTCATCATGTCGGTCTGTTTCATTGTCCCTAAGACGGCATTGCTTAGAGATTGTTGAACCAAGGTGGGGCTTCCTCAGAGGTGACCAGGGCTACATCTTCAACTCCTTCTCTAGGTGGACATCGAGCAGCTGGATCCCCGAGGCCGGACCCCCCTGCATCTGGCCACCACACTGGGGCATCTCGAGTGTGCCCGTGTGCTCCTGGCACATGGTGCAGATGTGGGCAGGGAGAATCGCAGCGGCTGGACAGGTGGGCATCCAAGCTTATTCAAGTCTCAACAGTTATGCTTTCCCCAGCATGTCCCTGCCTCTTGCTGGCTGAACAAAGCCCTCAGCAGGCCCCAGCCCTGTGACACCGCCTCCCCTTCCCCCAGTGCTTCAGGAGGCTGTGAGTACCCGGGACTTGGAGCTGGTGCAGCTTGTGCTGAGATACCGAGACTATCAGAGGGTGGTGAAGCGGCTGGCGGGCATTCCTGTGCTCCTGGAGAAACTGCGCAAGGTGGGGACTCAGCCTCTCAGCGTCCTCACCATTGTCCGGGACTCCATTTCTAGCACAGATTTTGTCACTCTCCTTTTTTTCCTCCAGGCTCAGGATTTCTACGTGGAGATGAAATGGGAGTTCACTAGTTGGGGTAAGGGCCTGAAAGAGACCTTCTCTGGACACTTTCTCACCCTAGGGCTTTGGAGTTGGCTGCCTCCTACTTGAAGCACTCACAGTCTGGGAGCTCTTCTGGCGACTCCTTCTTTTAGTTCTCCACTCAAATGCCACCTCCTCAGACCTCCCCAGACATGCTTTTAATCTCATGGTTTCCTTTGCTCTGTATTGACTTGCTTGTTTGTTATTTCTCACCCCCTGCTAGAAGGTAAGCTCAAAGAAGGGAAGGATTCTCTTTTGTTAAATATTTTATTCCCAGTGACTGGAATAGTGGCTGGCACGTAGTAGGTGTTCAAGAAACAGTTGTTGCAAGAATGAATGAAAGAGCGAGTGAATGAATGAATAAATAGAAGGTACGAGAGACTCAGTGGTGACTGAAGCCTCCTCGTCCCAGAACTTAGCTTGCTCACAGCTGAGTGAATGGAGTTTATATTGATGTGTGTACTGCCAGGTGAAGATCTGCTCTCCTGTTAGTTCTCTCACCCTTTACTGACCCCCAACTTCCATGCCCTCCCCTGGCCCAGAGTGGGTGGGCCAGGCACATCGAAGCCATCTCTGACCTCCACTTCCACCCAGTGCCCCTGGTGTCCAAGATCTGCCCTAGTGACACTTACAAAGTGTGGAAGAGCGGGCAGAACCTGCGGGTCGACACCACACTCCTGGGCTTTGACCACATGACCTGGCAGCGAGGAAACCGCAGCTTTGTCTTCAAGGGCCAAGGTCAGCCAGGCAAGAGGTGGTGGGCAGGGCAGAGGGAACAGGGTGCAGCCCCTCACCACCCCTGATCTTCCATCCTCCATGCTGTCCTATGGCTGGCAGACACCAGTGCCATTGTCATGGAAATTGACCATGACCGCCGGGTGGTGTACACGGAGACACTGGCATTGGCTGGGCAGGACCGTGAGCTGCTGTTGGCCGCTGCCCAGCCCACCGAGGAGCAGGTGCTGAGCCGGCTCACTGCACCGGTGGTCACCACACAGCTTGATACCAAGAACATCTCCTTTGAGAGGTGAGTGGACATTCCTCGGACAGCCTGGAGCCAGCCTGGTGAGATGCCTGCCTTACCTCGGCCATGCTCTTTCCTCAGGAATAAGACTGGCATCCTGGGCTGGCGCAGTGAGAAGACTGAGATGGTGAATGGGTACGAAGCTAAGGTGAGACTGCAGCTTCAGTGCCAGACTCAGGCACACTCTTACCCACAGCAGGGTGGACAGACGTCCCCTGACCATGAAGGGACAGAGACCATCCGACATGGAAGGGAGGGCCCTAGACTGAGAGTTGACTGATAAGTATAGTCAGCATTATTGAGCACGTGCTATGATCATGGTCAGAGTACTGGTCTGACAGTTCATACACACCCATGCACAAGTTCACACACGTGTATATACTTACATGTAAGTACATATGCCTGTATAAGTATACACATATATGTGTGTGTGTAATTCCCTACTATGATTCTCGGAATTACTCTTTGAGGTAGGTACTGTTCTTCCCATATTACTGATGGCTTATAGAGCCTTTCTCATAATATTTATTCTTCACAGCAACTCTTATGAAGTCAAAGGGATTATCAGCTGCATGTTATGATAAAGAAATGAAGGCTTTGGGTGGTTAAGTGACCTCTGCGAGATTCCACAGAAAGGGGTTAGTGAGACTCAGTCATTCAGGGATTCCAGCACCACTGAGTTCATGGGGACAGTGGTGAAGGAAATGAAAGTTCTGCAAGGTTCCCTTTCCCCTGGAGCCCCTCTGTCCTCTGCTGTTCATCCCCACAACCCCTTGTTGCCTCATCAAAGTCCTTTGCACACCGCAGTATTATCTATCTGTTTTCTCATCAGTCGCTCCCAACTAGATTGAGTTTCCAGGGGGCAGGGGGACCATGTCTGGTATGTTCACCACTTTATCCCTAATGCCCATCCCAGTGCCCAACATATAAACGAAAACAAAACCAGGCTCATTTCAGTCAAGTCGATTCTGATAAAGCAAGCCCAGAGGACCAAGTATAACTGTCCCGTAGGGTTCTGAGTCTGTAATCTTCACAGAAGCCGATGACTTCTTTTCTCCTGCAGAACATTTGGCAGGTTCAAGTTGCCAGTGCTTTGGTTAATAGCCAAGTGCTTAACCACTGTACAACCAAGACCCCTGCCTGACACATAAAACTCCTCAAAAAATGATTATTAAATTGATGGTTTCATATATTGTTCATAGACCTGGACCCTGGGCCCTCTCAAGGATGGAATGTTTGGAATGCCTAAGGGAATGGAAGTATCAGAGCTGCCTCTGAGTCTCTTCTCAATCTCCTTCCCAGGTGTATGGGGCATCCAATGTGGAACTCATTACCAGGACCCGGACAGAGCATCTTTCTGAACAGCACAAGGGCAAGGTCAAAGGTAATGACACAAGGGTAGGCGTGGAGATGCTGCAGAACTGAAGGAACCAGCTCCGACTCCAGATGCTATCATCTTTTCAAAAACCAGGATAGTCTACTTAGGACAGTGAATAGATTTCAACTCAGCTGTCAAGCCCTAATGAACAGCAGTGGCAGCTAACGCCTACAGTACTGCTGAGATGATAAGGCAGCATCTGGGCACAGTGGGGAAAAAAGCGTAGCAGTTAATTGCTAATACCTGAAGTGGGTTTGGAAGACAAGAGAAATCTCAAGCATGCCATTTATTGCCTATTTTAGTCTAGGAGGACATTTCCTAGGTAGGAAGTCAGGGCACCCTGCCATTGAATCTTTGGGCCTGTTGATTCCACATCTGGTTTTTCTAGACACCAGTGTCCCTCCTGGAAGTGGGGAGAGAGGATTCACCAAAAACTTAGTGCCTCCAAATAGACTGACTCATAGAAACCACCTAGGACCGAGTAGTACTGTCCTATAGGACTTCTGAAGCTATAAATATTTATGGGAGCAGACTGCCTTGTTTTTCTCCTGGCGGGTTGGAAAGGTGAAATCTTTAATATGGAAATACCTGAAGGAAAATATAAATACACGTGCTGCATACACTGTCACCAGTCTAGGGAGTGGCTCTTTTGGAAGTCTCTGATCCACTTTTCTAGTACATGCAGGATTCTGCTTTCTGTCCCCCAGGAGTACTTGGTCATGGTATATGTGGTATGGATAAGCAGTTCCTCTCTGCACCCCCAAAAGCCAGCCTTCTCCTTCAGTCTTAGGTGCATTCCATTCTAGTGAGGTGCCCAAATGTGTGTGTGGGCCTGTGGTGTCCTGAACAGCCACGCTTTTTGTAGGTTGTAAGACCCCTCTGCAGTCTTTCCTTGGAATTGCTGAGCAGCACGGGGCCCCGCAAAATGGGGTGAGTGTGCATCAGGTGTGTCCTTGCATGTGGGGTGTAGATATGGCAGAGGAGGAGACCTAGGAGGCATCCTGCCGAGCATGGCCTCTGTGGACCTCCTTTCCATAGTAACCAAGGCAGGGGGGGACAGATCGGGGGCCCTCTTGATACCAAATGGCTAACCCACCTTCAGAGACTGAGAAGGGCTCATGGACCCCTCCCCATGTGGTACAGACCCTGGTCACTCAGACTCTGAGCCAAGCCAATCCCACTGCCATCACTGCAGAAGAATACTTCAACCCCAGCTTTGAGCTTGGCAACCGGGACATGGGCCGCCCCATGGAACTGACCACCAAGACGCAAAAGTGAGGCCCCAGCTGGTTCTGGGAAGGGTGGGGGGCAGGGTCTCCAGGGATTGCTGGGAGGCCATGGCCTACAGTCTCCCTCACCCACTGGGATCTGGGGGGCAGGTTCAAGGCCAAGCTGTGGCTGTGTGAGGAGCATCCCCTGTCCCTGTGTGAGCAGGTGGCTCCCATCATTGACCTCATGGCTGTCAGCAATGCACTTTTTGCCAAACTCCGGGACTTCATCACCCTGCGCCTGCCTCCTGGCTTCCCTGTCAAGATTGGTGAGGCCCACCCTCTCCACTTTCCCCTCAGCCCCTCGTGGAGGGTGGAACTGAGAAGAAGAAGGAGTTGGGGTGGGGATTGCTGAGGTAATGAGATGGTGAGCAGTGGCCCCTGAAGGTGCTCTCATCCCTAGAAATCCCAATCTTCCACATCCTCAATGCCCGCATCACCTTCGGGAACCTCAACGGCTGTGATGAGCCCGTGCCGTCCGTGCGAGGCAGCCCCAGCAGCGAGACCCCTTCCCCAGGCAGTGACTCCTCTAGTGTCAGCAGCTCCAGTTCCACAAGTGAGACCCGGTTCTCCCCTCTGAACCTGCCCTTGCTTCCCCTCCCTCCCAAGCCCTTGCCCTTCTTGGGGGGCGGCTTCACAGTTCTGGGACCCTGTGGAGTGGACCCAGTCCTTTCTCTGACCCCTACCCCTTGCCCTCAGCCTCCTGCCGTGGCTGCGAGATCTCCCCAGCATTATTTGAGGCCCCACGAGGCTACAGTGTGCTGGGTGGCCAGCGGGAGGCCGTGGCCCGAGACGACGATGATGACCTATTGCAGTTTGCCATTCAGCAGAGCCTGCTGGAGGCAGGCAGCGAGTATGACCAGGTGCATACTGAAAGGGTGCGGGGGAGGGGCTCTGTGCCAACCCCGCTAACTGGCTCGCTCTCCCACGCCCTAGGTGACCATATGGGAGGCGCTAACCAACAGCAAGCCAGGTACCCACCCTATGTCCTACGAGGGTCGACAGCAGGACAGGTCAGTGTCTAGCAGGTTGGAGACTGTCTAGAGTCACCTCTCTGACACCCACTGCCCTACACATACACACTACCTACCTCGTGGGCCCTGAAGCCCTTTTGACTAGGGACCTGACTGGTGTCAGGATACCTTTTCCCCTTTCCTGGCTCAGGGGTTGTGGGCAGTGCCCGTTGGGAGCAGGGTTCAGGTCTGACATGCTGTAAGATTTAGAGAACTGCTCTGCACTGGTTGTGAGCTGCCACCATCGGGACAGCCAAGGAGATGACCGGGAACTCATCCATCCAGTGGAGGCTGGCTTCGTCAGCTCTGCTCTCTGGCCTCCATGCCTCCTCTGGCTCCTACCTATCAAAAGGTGCATCCTGTAGTTCCTGACTTCGTTTCCCCATCCCCAGGAGCACGCCACCCACACCGCAGCGCCAGCCTGCGCCCCCAGTGGCCCCCACATCGGTCCCCAGCCCTCGGCCAAGTCCTGGCTCTCGCCGTGGCAGCCACATGTTCCGGAGCTATGATGAGCAGCTACGCTTGGCCATGGAGCTGTCAGCTCAGGAGCAGGAGGAACGGCGGCGGCGCGCACGCCTGGAGGAGGAGGAGCTGGAGCGCATCCTGCGGCTCTCACTGACCGAACAGTAGCACCCCTGCGAGGCCCCTCACCACATGGGACCCTCCCAGGCCCACACTCTAGCTGAACTGGGGCTGGAGACTGGAGTTGCCACTTTGGGGCGCAGTTGAGCACAAGGCACAAGACGGGAAGGGGTTCGGCACCTGCGCAGGGTACCTTTCCGGGCCAGGGCCCTGGTGGCAGCTGGCACGGCCCGGTCCCCTTGCTTTGCTGTATCTTGACCTCCCTTCCTTAGCCTCCCTTCTCGGACAAAGACCTGAGCCAGGCATTCCTGGGGGGGGAGACAGTGTCCCCATCCCTTGTTCCTCCTGGCCTGCCCTCCTTCCTGCTCACTGATCCAATCCAGGACACTGCCCTTGAAGCCTTTGCAGCGCCGCTCTTCACCCCTGGGGGGCAGCTGAGCTCCCGCGTGCTGTGTCGCTGCTTTGCCCCAGACACAAACCAGCACGCCAAGGGTCCAGCTCCTCCCCCACCCCGGCATTTCAGCGTCAAGTGCACTTAGCGGGGTGCCCAGCTCCCCAACCCCCACACCCCTCCTGGGTCTCAGGGTGGTTGCGCCTTTCCAGGGGTGGCCAGAAGTTGGGAGTCCCTGTTCCCAAGGCATGATTTTGTGATCAGGGAGGGTGTCCAAGGTGGCCCCTAGCTCCAGGCAAGACTTGGCTCCATTATGGTGTCTTGGAGAGGGGGGCATATTGGGCTCGGGGACAGGCATAGACCGTTTATTAGTCTGGACACTGAGGGATCACCCAGGGCCTTGACACTACCATCCACCCCTTCCCACCAGCTGCTGCTAGCCCTATGTGGTTGTGCGTCCCACTTGCCTCCTACCCAGGGACTGATTCTAAATCCCCTTATCCAATGGTGCTAACCCCCGGCTCTCCTCTGCCCCACCTCACCCAACCAGAGAAGCACAGACCCCGCCAGGGGCAGGGGCACACGGCACACCCTTGTTTAGATCTTCTCTAGGACTGACCTTCAGGGCTCAAGCAGTGAAGCTCAGAAGGGATACAAAAAGGGGACAGAAGAAAAAAGCAACAAAGAAGACTTCCCTCTCATTCCTTTCCTTGATGCCAGGGGCACCAAACTAATGATTCTGAGGCACAAATAAAAGAGGCTTCAAACCCAAAACTTTTCCTAGCTGGATTTACTGGGGAGGATCACCCATGGCACAGGGTCCTTCTGAACCTGTGTGGGGAGGGTCCTGGGGTGAGAGGTGGTTTGGTGGGTCCTGAGCCCAGGATACATTTATCATGGTCCCTGGGAGCCTGGGGTAGCATTTTCAGAGGCCAAGGTTCTTGCCATCCTTACCCAGCACAGGCAGGTGGTGCAGACAGAACACTTGGTAAAGCATTTCATTGAGTATGTCCTGGTCTCCTCACCTGTGGTCAAGGCCACTGCAGAGGGCTGGGGAGAGTGTGTGTGTGTGAACCTGCTTCCTCATGACAGTTCTCTGGTGGTGCAGAGGTGCCATAAGAAGCTGCCCTCTCCCCTGACCACAGAAAGAAGAGGGTCCTTAGCCATAGACTGCTGGGTATATCCAGTGGGTTCCACCTCGGATGCCAACAGGTTGCATATGTCTCTGCAAAACTGGGATAACTCCCATCTGGCTTACCACTCAGGGTAGTGGAATCAAGTGAGCTGATAGAGAAGCACTGTAATTTCTCTAGGCTGCCTGGGAAGACCCAAAGAATCATCATCCTTAAGGTCAAGCCAAAACTCAATATTCCCAAGCATGGAGCTGTTATTAAGCACTTCCTCAGCCATAGGCGAGGAGATGGAAACACTGCTTCACCGTGTAGCATGGTGGCTGAGCCCCTCTTCACCTTTGGACTTCTCAAGGCCTCCTCCAGCCAAAGTGTACAATCGGGGCCAGGACAAAATAACTCGCAGATGTGCAGTTTCCATCCAGAGCCAGGACTTCTGCGAGAGGCGGAGTTTTTTCCATAGCCCCGCCCCCGGGCCCAGCCCAGTAAGGCAGGGACTGGAGTCCTGGATCAAAGCCTAGGGTGGGGCCGGGGCGTGGCGTGGGCGGGGTGCGGCGTGACCGAGTCCGTGCGCCACACCCCGGCCCGCTGGCCTGAGAGCTTCCCTCTGCATGCATGCAGTGTTAGTCCGTACTGTCCACCAGCTCGCAAAGCATGTTTTCCAAAGACGTGATGCGCTCCTCTTGGGCCTGCACTCGCTCGCGAAGGGCCTTGATTTCTTCCAGCAGCGTCTCCAGAGTGTGCTGCTGCTGGGACAAGGAGGGAAGAAGTGGTGTCAGGCTAGGGACGGCAAGCGGACCGTGAAGAGAGGGTCTAAGAGAGGCAGCATCTCACCGACAGGGGGGCGTCGCTGGCTGACTGGCTGCGTCGGGGACCTGAGGGTGGGCGGACGTCCAGAATGTTGCGCTTGGTGACGCGGAGCTCACGGTGTTTGGGGGGCACATAGCCGTCCCTCAGTGAGATAAGAACTGGCTCCGCGTCCTGGCCCGACACCCACTCGTCTGCTTCCAAGGCTGGCTCCGGGCCTGGTGTGTCTGGGTAGAGGTCGTCCTGGAACAGATCTGACTGCGGGGCGTGGAGATGACACAGACACATGTGAATGGGGCGCGTGGCCGACTGCACTTCCTTCTCAGAGTCTTGCGCCAACCCCTCTCTTGTCCCCTCACCTTGCGGGGCACAGTCATGATGATTGGTTCACACTTTCTTTCATGCAGCTTGTAGAACCTATGAAAGGATGGGTTCAGTACTCTCCCAGAATCCTCCCTCCAGCCCCCTTAATTTTTCCTGCCTGGAACGAAGGAGTTAAAGGTCAGCACTGAGTGCTTTCATGCCCACAGCACCTCCTCAACACATTATGGACTCAGTGATACACCACCTCCTCTGGAGTTAATTATCACCATTTAAAGATGAGGAAACAAATTCAAAGAATGTCAATAGTATTGGGGCTGTGATTGGGAATAGATAGAACTGTTGGACACCCTAAACCTACCCTCTTTCAAAATACTAAATTATTGGGCAGCATCATGGCTAAGCGGACCCAGGGGAGTGGGGAACAGGTAGGCGTGCTGACCGGGCGATCTCGCACTTGCTGACGTCCAGACCTCGCTTAGGCATGAAACCCATTCCTCTCTGCGGCTCCTTGCTGCTGAACGTGTTCAGGTAATGCACGAAAGGCGGCTCGTCGGTAATTTCAAAGTACCGAATGCTGCTGTCGCCCTGCAAAGCCAGCCAGCTCAGGGGCGCCAGCGGGCGAAACCCTCCAGCACTACACCTCGGTCCTCCCTGCCTGGCCTCGCACCTTGCCACACAAGTAGACGATGCTGGAGTCGGGATCGTAGAAGGGCAGTAGGACCCCATTGCTTGTGTCCATCTCTTGTAATGCCACTGGCTCCTCAAAGTTGTTCTGCCCAAGCACAAGAGGCGTGACCAGCCCCGCCCCTCCCTTCGGTGCCACTTCGGGACTTGCAGAAGCCCTTTTATGTTTTCTGCCCAGCTCCAAACCCCATGCGTCCAGTCACTGGGGCTGGGGGCCCCACTTCTAGGCATAACACCTCCCCCTCCCCTGCATATATGTCCTCTGGGTCGTCGCATGCAATCACAGCAAACCACCCCCGAGGACTCGGCATCACCAGATGGGGGCGCCAGCACGGGCTTCTTCAGGCGATGGTGCAAAACTAGGCAGAGGGGTGGGGGTGGGAATGGTAAGCGCTGCAGGGGGACAGCAGCCCCCAGGTCTGTCCGGGTGGGCATGCCCTGCGAGTGAGAGGCGCCTGGCCTTTCTCCCGTGATGCCAGTCCCCGGGGCACACACTTCAAGCCTCCAGCTGTGTTACCGGGTCCCATAGGCCCAGCTCTCGCTGGCTCATGCGGGTGAAGCCCGTGGTGAAGATGTGACCCTGACGTGTGAAGACGGCCCGCATGGGCCTCATCCCCTCGTGGGCTGCAAACCTCTCCTGGGGGGAGGGGGATATAGGGAGAGGCATCACCCAGCTGCCTGCACTGCGGAGCGTGGAGGGCCGAGCAACTACCTTGCTGACTCGGATGTATGTGTGTGGGGGTGGGGGCGAGTCACGGGGAGACAAAGTGCCCTAAGTACTCAACTTCTTGGGGAGCCATGGCTGGCCCCATGCGTGGAGAGCATCTGGGCCCGGAGAGAACACGTGTCTCCTAGCTGATCCCGAGCCCTTAAGCTCCCTCAAAGGCTGATTCCTAGAGCAGGGGAGGTCTGCAGGCTCCCCGGGGTCGGGGTCGCAGCGAGGCTTTTCCCAGACGGGAGCGCTCCGCTCCGCTTCGGCCCCCTGGGGCACGGTTCGCGGCCCGGGAAGGCGCTCCAGGCTGACCCAGCGAAGGAGCGAGCGAGCGCGCCCCGCGCGGCCTGGCCTACCGGGTCCCAGAGCGCGAGTTGCCGCTCACTCATCCTGCTGAAGCCGGTGCTGAGCAGCTTTCCATCTGCCGTGAAGACGGCCCGCAGCGGGCGGGCGCCCTCGTGAGGCCGGGCTCTCTCCTGCTCGCGGGGTTAGTGGGTTAGAGCGCCCGCCCGCCCGGCCCGACCCGCCGCGCTCCACGTGCGATGTGCGTGCGCTACGCAGCCGCAGACGAGCACGCGCGCCCTTAGCCCAGGTTAGACTGCGGGAGGCGAACGCCCTCCCTCCCAGGGGATGCTCAGTTCCACTCCCAGCCGGAAGGGGCGAGTCAGAGCCAGACCCCAGACCCTGGAAGATGGCGGTGGGTGCCGGCTGTGAGGACAGGGGTCCCGGAACTCAGATTTCATGCAGTTTCTAGTGGGAGGATGGAATTTGCAGTTTTTCTCCCTCAATCCCAACGCGAAGAGCCTTTTCCCCTGGGTTTCTGAGATGCAGGGAAGGGAAAGGATAGGGGCGAACAGAATTGCAGGCTGGGGACTTACTTTGAGGACTGGGCTTTGTGGTAGGGATGGGGAAGAGGAGAATTGGATTTGGGGGCTCAGCGAATTGTGGGTACTGGCCGTTAGCAGCTGATCCCTCGGATAGGGAAAATGAGGTGAGGCACTCACCGCCACCACTTGGCCCTTTCGAGGGTCTATGATGCGTAGGGTCTTGTCCTTACAGGTGGTGGCAAGCAGGCTGCCGTTGCTGTTCCAGCACACGCTGTGGATGACGTCGGGGTGCATGTCGTCCAGGCTCAGCAGCACCTCCCCGGTGCCCACGTTCCAGATAATAATCACATTGTCACCGCCTGCCCAGGGTGGCGAGGCATTTTCACCTTGCCTTTGCCATCCCTCCTCTCCCCCCATCCACCCTACAGAAGCGACCCCTCCCCAGGCCACTAGACCTGCACTGAGCAGGACGTTGCGGGCAGTGGGATGCCAGGTAATGATGCCCACGCGCTTGGAGTGGCCCTCGAGTGTGATGATGGGCTCTGTGATGTTGCGCACGGGGGTGTAGTCTGGAATCTGCCACACCTGGGTGGGAGGAAAACCCATAGGGTGGGTGGGGCAAGGAGCTCCCATCTTCAACTCCTCAGACACCCACCCTCAATTTTATGACTCCCTGCAGGTGGTAAGGGTCAAATAGAGGGCAAGTTGTGGTGATGCCTGCTTGAGGCTGTGGCAGCTGGGAGCCAGGAAGGGGCACTGCCAGCTCTGCAGAGACTTCCACATCTACCCCAGCAGGGAGACTCCAGAGCCATGCCCCTACTCTTCAGGCCCCAAGTTGGCCATGAGGCTATAATTATCCTAAGCAGTGCATCCTGGGGGGAGGTGGGCATGTAGCTAAAAATAGCCAGGAGCTGGGCAGGACAGGGCCCTGGGACCCAGTACCTCCCTTAACTACCCTCCTCAGAATGGGTGAGGCTGCCCTCCTGGTTTCCATTGCCCCATTCACTGCCCACCACTGTCCATTTGGCTCCTACCATGATGGTGGTATCATCTGAGGCACTGGCGATGACGTTGTCATTGTGCGGGCACCAGTCGATATCTAGCACGGGGGCAGTGTGCCCTGTGACCAGTGGGTAGTTCTTATCCACTCGCCCTGTCTGGAGGGATCAGAGAACAAGACCTCCTTCCTGTGTGCTCTTTGCAAGTAGGCAGATGACCTGTTTCCATTCCAATTTCCTATCTTTTCTTTTTTACAGACCCCTCTCTGGGACTAATCCAGGACTGCATTTCAATGAAGGCAGAATTCAAGTCCTTTCATATGAGGGAAGCATACATAGAAAGGTAAAACCACTTGCCCAAGGCCACACAGCACAATACTGGTAGAGTCAAGAATTGAACTCTTAGATGAGTGCTCTTCCAAAGATTTGAAGGAGGCTGTCTTGGGCCTGTTCCTCTGATGGGCATGCCTGCAGGAGCCACAGGTGAAGGTCAAGGTGAGGTACTCATGTGGCATCCACAGCCCACCCTTAACCACTCTTGGCAGATTTCTTCTTTGTTACTGGCTTCACCTTGGAACCTGGTGCCTGCTATCCCCAAACCTGAGCTGGGCACCCATCTATTTTTGGTTTTCACAGGCTGCTTGTGGGGGCTCAGAGCCCTCTGCAGGGGCTGGCATCAGCCCAGATCAGGCAGGAGGGAGAGGGGCAGCCATGTGGCACAGAATGCCAGGACGGGGGAGGAGGCAGCTCTAGTTGAAATTAGAGCCTTGGGGATGGTGTCCCTGGATGGTGTCTGCATTGTCCCAGGGTGAGTCACCAGCTATTGTCAGACCTCTTCCTGACCCTGTCACCTGTGGGGCCTCCCCTAACAAGGTGTATGGGCTCCAGGTCAAGGTCATGCATTAGGGTGGCCATACTTACATCTACAACACAACCATAGGGTTTAAGGTTATTGTCTGCTCTCATCCCTAGGACAGAGAGGATGTTGCCCTTACATGCCATAACCCTTTGCCCTTCCCTTTCATTCTACAACATTGCTGCTGCTCTGCAGGTCATGTTGAGCTGGGGAGGAGAACCTCCACATTCAGAGCATATGGGGGTGCAACATTGGTGGACTGGAACAGAATCTGGCCAGGCCCTGGCTCTGCTTCACCACCTTTCTTCTCTTCCTGATCATTGCTTAGAACTGGATGCTGCACATAGAAGGGGACTGAGCTGAGGAGTAGCCCCCCCATCCCTCACTGCCATCGAGTTGAATCAGTTCAGACTAATGGCAGACCCTCCAGCTTGTTTCCAAGGCTGTAAATGCCATGTAAGGAGATCGCTCATCTTTCTTTCTGAAAAGGAGGTAAATATGAACCACTATAGAAGCTCAGCCTTTAGGTTAACTCTCTTTATATAGGACCAGAGCTAGACCTTCATAACTGCAGCTTCTCTTGGGTTTGGGGCACAGGCAGCCGCGAGGCTGCAGGCACTGCCCTTCTGATTGAGGAAAGGTGTTCAGGTATGTGAATGAGGACAGACTACCATCACAAGTCCTCAGGAGTCCCAGCCAGTCTCCCCTGCCCCCCTCTGCCTGCTTGCTTCTTTCCCTCACCTTAGCCAGAGTCAGGACGATGAAAGCACCCCCACCTCCAGCCTCCACGATAATGGCCAGGAATTTGGGATTGACGGCACAGAAGGAGCTGTCCCATGTGACCTTGGACACTCGGATGTCCTCATAGTTTTGATCTGCCTTTGCCGCCTGACCAAACACATGGCGGAACTTGCTCTGCCGAACCACACGCCGACTCATGGCTGGAGCAGAGGCTCTGGTGCCCAGAAAGGCCTTTGGTCCTTTGAGCTGTGGGAGGGAGGAGTGGAGGGTGCGGCATGTGAGGGTAGTAATCTAGTCAGGAGTCAGATATAAACTCATGTAGTAACAGGGAGCTTTCTCAAAGGTGAGATAAGGGTATGGAAAGTTCTTGCCAACTGTGAAGCGTTTTATGTGAAGGGCTATGATTTAGGGCCTGTCTTCTTAGAGGTCCAGGCTGAGGGGACAGTGAGATCTCTAAGTGATTTTCGGGAGGAGCATAAACTACCAACCTTGGACGGACATATCTCCCTGAAAGTGTATCTCCCAGAGGCACTGGATCCACAATTGGAGGTCCCAGGACCTGGAGCCTGGTTCAAGGCCATGTCACCACTGCCCACCGTTACCTCGCTGATTCTGACATATACTCTGACAACTCTGACATGATAGGACAGAGTGGAGCTTCCCCTTAGGGTTTCCAAGATCTTTAGGGAAGCAAACGGCTTCACCTTACTCTTTATGGAAGTGGCAAGTGGGTTCCAAACTGCCAACCTTTTGGTGAAAAGTCAAATGCCTTAACCACAGCACTAACAGAGCTCCTGGTTTCAAAACCAGGAGAGCCTAATGTGGAGATGCTAAACTATGTTTCTGGCAAGTTTAGATAGTCCTGGTTCTGCTTTCTTCCAAAAAATTTGTCAAGGGAGAAGTTCAGGTAAAGCTTTCCTGCAACTGTTCTCATTCAGTTTCTTCCACTGCTGTCTGGGGGACAAAGTGGACCTTTCCCTACTCTTCCTTGCTTCCTGTCCTGGCTTCCCTAAAAGGCCCTACCTCCCAGGAGGAGGGGATTTTGGGTTTTGCCCACCGTCCTGCGGCCCGGCTGTCCCTTGCTGTCGTGAAGATCTCTGGGGGAGTAGGATCCTGACTCTCAGGCTCGATCTGCCTGGAGGGCGAGTTTCCCTTTGTCCAGGCTGGGCCTGTGCTGTCCTCTTCCCCAGGGGACACACAGAGGGCTCCAGAGGCTTCAGCCACCGCTGTTCCTCCCCAGCCCAGGACATTCCGGTGCCCTTCATGCCGCTCCTGCGGCCCCAGGCCTGTGGCCCGGCCTCCCCGCACCCTCCTCTGGCTTCCTGCAGCCACTGCGTTCTTGAGAAACGAGGTGTCTGCGCCCTGCGGGGAGCGCGGGCCGCTGTCCGGCCAAATATAGGCACCGAGTCCGCCCCGCCCGGGGCTGAATTTGGCAGCGGGGGAGGGGGACGCAGAACTCTGTCCCCTCTGGAGACCCCCTCGCGGTGGAGGCGGGTGGGTGGGGTGGGTACCTGGTCCTGGGTGGGCTGGTGGGGCGCTCACGCTGTGACTCCTCTGCGGAGGAGCTGGGGACACGCTGGGGACCGGGGGAGGCGTCAGGGCGCCGGGGCTGCCTCCTGGGTGTCCGCGGCTCCTGGGACCGGAGTGTCGGGCTGTGCGCTCCAGCCGCCGCCTGCGCCTCTCGGGGCCACGCGCCGCTGCAGTCCCAGCTGCCGCTGCCATCAACCTGCGGGGGTGGGGCGGGGGCGGGGCGTGGCCAGCGCCGCCCCGCCCCCCCAGCGGCGGGAAAGTCAAGCGCCGGGACTGAACCCTGCGCCCCTGACTGCTCCCAGCGCCCTTGATTCTGCATCCGGCGCCCCTGACTGCGCCCAGCGCCCTTGATTCTGCACCCTGCGTCCCTGACTCTGCATCCAGCTCCCCTGGTTCTGCACCCGGAGCCCCTAACTGTGCCCAGTGTCCTTGACTACATCTGGCGTCCCTGACTGTGCACCAACGTCCTGACTAAGTCCAGTGCCTCTGACTGTGCCCAGCGCCCTGAATTGGCACCCAGCGTCCCCGACTATGCCTAGTGTCCCTGACTGCATCCAGGGTCCCTGGTTGCACCCAGTGACGCGACGGTGCTCAGTGTCCCTGACTCCATCAGGGTCCCTGACTGCGCCCAGCGCCCCTGGCTGCATCTGACGCCTCTGACTCTGCACCCAAGGCCCCTGACTCAGAACTCAGCGCCCCTCACTCAACACCCAGAGCCCTGACTGCGTTCAGTGCCTCTGATTGTACCCGGCACTGCCAGCTCGAAATAGTGCCAAAAGTCCCTGTCCGCGTGCACGCAACTTGAGCGGGGTGTGTGTGGGGGGGGCGTGCGCATGCTCCTGCCCCAGCCTCTGCCCCTCCAAGGATTGAGCGGGCCCAGCAGCCTCGAGTTTCCAGTCCCAGAACAGGACCCTGAGACCCGGGGGGAAGCAAGGGAGAGCGGGGAGCCGCAACTACAGCTCCTAGCCTTGCGGGATCAGGTGCTTCGCGCTGCATTCCTGCTGCTATCGCGTTCCGGATTTAGCCTGTGGAGTTGCTCTTGCGGCCCACAATGTCCAGCCCCGCCGAGGAAACGGCCAGAAGGATGCTCTGGAGAAGAGTGACCCTTTGGTGAGGTCTGGACTGCCCCCCAGCAGCTGTGAGGGTACACCCAAGAGCATGGAAATGTTAGGATAATTGTTAGAATAGTTGTTAATAGCCACAGCAATTATCTGAGAATTTAGAGTTAGGGCGTCGCCTCAGTAGAGAGGGTTCCACGAAGCAGGGTGGGAGGCGCCTTAATGAACACGGAAGAGGAGAAAAGTGAACCCACATGGACTCCCGAGAACTTGAGGTCCAGGGGAAGGGTCTCTGGGTAAAGATTAGCTAGAAGGTTTGAGGCTCCTAGTCTTCTGGCCTGTGTTTGAGGTTGGATTGTGATCCAGAAAAGCTGCTCTTCTCTATACACCCCAAGACCTATGCATGTAAATACTGAACCAGGCCAAAGAGGGAGAAAGAAAACGTGGAAGTTGAAGGAAGTTCCAGTGGCTTGAGGGGCACAGCTACCACCTGTAGCTATTAAGGAAACCTCTGGTGGCCTAGTTGGATTACCAACTCAAAGGCAGGAAGTTCAAATCCACTAGCCACTCTGTGGGAGAAAGATGGGGCAATCTCATTCTACTCAATTTACAGCCTCTCAATACCTGCTGGAGGGTCAGCTGGGCGTCAGTTCTGACTCCACAGCAATGAGAGTTGGCAATTAGGCTTGACCCTGACGAAGATAACTTCT